ACAAACTAGCATTCTTTCCTGTAAGCGCCTTTCATGTTGCTTGTGTTTTCTTGTTGTGGGTCTGTATTCAGTGCTCGTACTGTCACGAACATACACTACTTAGCGGTAAGTCACACAAGACTCTTTGAATAATTAGAACGCTATGCTTGAGAAATTCTTTTGGTGAAGTAGAAAATAAAGAATGAATRATAAGCAGAATAAGTATAGTTAGACTTTAATTGCTTTTTATTTGTCATTGATCTGTGGTCATAACAACTTTGTAAATTTGAAATTAAGCATAGCATTTCAATGAAAAGAAATATACTATTAACAAACTGTTTTTAAAGCATTTTTTAGACAAATTATTGATTGCAGAAAATCATGTAATTGTTGTTTTTTTGCAACTGACCTCGCGAGACGTGATAGTTTCAGCATAGTGTGCTTGTCSYTTTATYGRCACACTCTRATCAACCAATCACCRCATGAGAAATCACACAAATSTGATTATTATTGCCRCCCTTTATCAGTTTCCAAACCAAGARAGGAYTCATCAAAGGAATCAAATAAAGCAGTCGAGCGACTGAGCGATATCCACCATTTTCGTCTATATCCTATAATAATCTACATAGCCATATCCTCACTTCCTCTTATATCCCTTTGCATTGGTAGCCTGCATGATGATAGTCAGTCTAATAAATGGTGGGATTACTGTAACGATTRATAAACTTGTGTGTTAATTCAGTTATTTTTTACTGTTTTAACTTGTACAATTTCAGCAAAATATTGATTGACTTGATGGATTAATTTACATCAACAATTCTTTACACAGGTCAGACTCAMAGCMACAAATKGAAAAGGTCCCTCACGAGAAGATCTTATTCAGCTCCTGTTATTAATGTTTTTCCAAGTTCCATGACCGTAACAGAAGGAGACACTGCCAGTTTGTACTGCCAAGCCACAGGAAACCCGCAGCCAATAATGAAATGGGAAAAATTGAAATCTTCCCTKCCATTRGGSAGATATTCTATGCAAACCTCTGGACAAGGTGTTCTATTRCTAWTACGTAACGTGAAACTCAGTGACCAGGGRAAGTATCAATGCAAAGCTAAAAATACTGCACAGGGACAAGCTACAGCGTTCGCTACACTAACTGTCAAAGGTATTTGCGCCCAAGTCCCTGTCTTGTCTTTTTCTAAATTGTAGGGTTATGCGTGTCTACCAGGCTCTCTCGAAAGGAAATGGCGAGGACCAATAGGGGAGAGAGAGGCACATTTATCGTTTATATATGCAACATATATAGCCATGACTTGCCATATTCAAAATGTTACATATTATAGCATTAATAATTGTATGGTATTTACTACTATGAAGTTCTCAAAGGTTGATATACATGATAGCCATTCAATTAGTCAAAATTAAAATGTCGAT